CTCATGCTCTCTGTCTCTCATTCTCTCTCTCTCAAATAAATAAATAAAATCTTCAAAAAAAAAAAAGTATTAAAAAAATAATAAAACTCTTGAACTTCCATGGTAGGTGGTTAATCCCACCATGAGCACTTTTTAAGCGTAACCCCAGAAAGATAAGCTTGGTGTTTTTAAGAGGGGATACTGCTATACGTCCCCAACTATAGGAGGATCAGAGGCAGAAAGCTCAAATAACAGACTATTATATCCCAGAGAGGAAATGAGGGCCCTTGCCAAAGTCCGTCTACTCACTCAACAAGAGTGTCCAACCTGTGGTCAGCCCTGAGAACAGTTAAAGGCCTAACCCCTCTGCTTTTAAAATCCCGTCCTGATCCTGAAGACTCACCACAAGTCCCAGGAAAGTGGGGAGTTGAGACTCCTCACCCCCAGGCATTGTCCCTGGTGGAACCTCCTTACCTGACTAGGGGTGAGCCCGGCAGTTTCAGGGGTGCCTGTCCCTGGGGCATAGGCAGGATCCAAGCCGTCGATGTCAAAGCTGATATAAATGGGTCTGCCGCCCACCTGCTGCCTCACCTCCCCCATCAGAGGAACCAGGGACTTCATCCAGCAGTCTTCAGCCGGGACCACCCGGAAGCCCTGAGGACGTGGGTAGTAAAGAGCAGGATGTCGAGGCTTCCACATAGTGCCATTTACTGGGCATTTCTTATGTGCCAACCCCACGCTAAGTGCTTCTGTACACATGACATCAGATCCCCAATCTTCACGAAGAGGGAACTGTCCTCCCCCTTCTACCGGTGCAGAAGGGAGGAGCGACAGCTGGTGAAGAAGCAGGGAGTAAGTCAAAGCTGACCTGGGGGGGATGGGATCAGAGAGAAGCTGGGCTATAGAGTAAGAGGGAGAAACTCAGCACCTCCTGAACGGCTCTGTCCAGAAGACTGGCCCTTGCACGCTCTAAAAGCAGGGGACTTGGGTCTTTCCTGTTGGGATCTTGTCATCCGCGTTTCCCTGGGAGCCACTGTGCCCGGTGGGGGTGAGGACAAGAACTAGAAAGATGGCCACTGGCCTTGGGTTTGGTCCTCCTCAGCTCATTGGGAAGCCAGCGACAGTGCAGAGGCTGGTGTGTTTCGGCTTCTCTCCCCACCCCAGCGATGAGGCCCCCTTTGCCTCATGAACTCACATCCTCTCTCCTCTCTGCTCCACACGACCCTCTTGGGGCAAACTGGGCCCTCCGTCCCATTTTTCTGAATTTGGTTATTAAAGCCCCCGTGGAGGGGCACCTGGGTGGCTCAGTCGTTAGGCGTCTGCCTTCGGCTCAGGTCATGATCCCAGCGTCCTGGGATCGAGCCCCGCATCGGGCTCCCTGCTCAGCGGGAAGCCTGCTTCTCCCTCTCCCACTCCCCCTGCTTGTGTTCCCTCTCTCGATTTCTCTCTGTCAAATAAATAAAATAAAATCTTTAAAAAAATTTAAAAAAATAAATAAAGCCCCTGTGGAATCCGCAGCCACCACCGAATGGGCACCGGAGAGAAATGCACTTCGCAGGCTGGGGGCAGAGGAAGAGGCGTTTAGCTTGTCACCTGGCTCCGGCTGTATCTGTAGGGATCCAAGGTCATGGCGGAGCCCCGGATGCCGATCTGCACCACGCGCTTGCAGTCCAGGAGACCCTCGTCCACGCAGCGGCGGAAGGGCGTCCCGTGATAGAGCTTCTCTCCGAGGGCCTTGTCAGCCGTGTCCATGTGAGCGTCCACATGCAGCAGCCCCACGGGGCCATGCCTGATGACAACAGGCAGCTCAGAGCCCAGGCCTCCTTCTGGGGCCTGAGCACGGCCACCCTCCAGGCTACCCGGACTTCCCAACTTGACCATTCACAGCCACGGGAGACCCGGCCTCGGTGACCAGCCCTGCAACTGGTTTCTGTCTTCAAATCACTTAGCCGCTCAGAATAATCGACCCAGAGAAGTCCGGCAGAGGATCGACAGCTCTCTCTCCATAATCTCCAACAACCCCGCCAGCCACCCGAAAGCAACATGCAATCTAAATCAATGCTAGGCAAGCACAGACTTCCAGAAAAGACCTATACCCGCCCACCACCAACGAGGATGCTACCCATATGTCCTTCCTATATATGAACTCTGGAGCTGCCACCACCTTGGCCCTTCTGCCTCTTTTTCAAACTAATTAACCAAAGTTAGTTAATCCCTGGTAGACTTCCACGACTGGAAAATCCGTTTTCTCATTCTCTGGAGAAGGGGCCCTTTCAGGAAGAAACAGGACCTCTCCTCAGCAAGCAACACTGCTGTATATTTGGCCTTTGAAGCCAAACAGAAACTGCTGTTAGCTGGGGTTGTGTATTTCACGCGGGGCCCATCTTCCAAAAACAGAGACAGATGCTGAGCACGCATACCAGAGCAGATCCAGGGCAAGCAAGGGTAGCCACAAGTGTTAATAATAAATTGTCTTGGTTCCCAGCTGGTGACTGACAGAGACACCGGGAGCTCGACCTTCATTTTGATCCACAGAAGCAACCCAGTGGGGCATTTCCTATCACCCCAAATAACCTGAGCCAGCAGAGGTCACTTGATACCGTCTAGCGGCAAACAACTCATGCCCTAGCTCCTGAATTTTGAAACCCTTGTGCGCGCCCAGACACTTGGGACGTACTTTTTTGCCATTGCTTGTAATATTGGATATGTGATTGTGTGATCTCCACCTGCAAAGAGGAAGAAGAAAACATCTGGAATGTGGGTAAGAGGAGAGGACCATGTATTACAGAGAGCAATCTTCAATCTACCCAATTGTGCCACCCTTTTGTTGAGACCAAAGAGCTATAACCTCAGCTAACACAGGATCTTGTTCAGTGGTGGGAAAACAGCCACTGGATGTTTGGGATTACATTGTTCTTTAAAAGAGGAAACAAGGGCACGTGGGTGGCTCAGTCGTTAAGCATCTGCCCTCGGCTCAGGTCATGGTCCCCACGGCCCGGGGATCGAGCCCCGCATCGGGGTCTCTGCTCCGCGGGAAGCCTGCTTCTCCCTCTGCCCCTCCCCCTGCTGTGTTCCCTCTCTAGCTGTCTGGCTCTCTCTGTCAAATAAATAAATAAATAAAATCTTTAAAAGATAATAAATAAAAGAGGAAACGAAGCTTACAGGTCAAATGCCAGGAACAGGTCTGTCCAACAGAACTCTCTGCAGTGATGGGCATGTTCTCTCTCTGCACTGGACGGCACGGGGGTCACTAACCGCACGTGCCTATGGGAATACAGCTCAGGCCGTGGAGGAACTGCATTTTTTATTTTATCTCATTGTGATTAATTGTAATTTTATTTTATTTTGTTTAAAGATTTTTATGTATTATTTGACAGAGAGAGAATGAGAGAAAGAGAGCACATGAGAGGGGAGAGGGGCAGAGGGAGAAGCAGGCTCCCCGCTGAGCAGGGAGCCCGATGTGGGACTCGATCCCGGGACTCCGGGATCATGACCTGAGCCGAAGGCAGTCGCTCAACCGACTGAGCCACCCAGGTGCCCGATTAATTGTAATTTTAATAACCATATGTGGCTAGTGGCTACCGTACAGGACAGCTCAGGGCTAGAAAAGTATTACTACGGACCACTATTACTAACAACAACAGCTGACATTTATTGAAGCTTAAAATACGTAAGTCACGATGCCAGACACGTTATATGCACTTTCATTATACGCCCCTCACACAAAACAATGAGGAAGACGCTGATAGTGTTATTCCCATTTTACAAGTGAGGAAATGAAGCATAAATAGCTAGTGAGAGGTGAAGCTGAGATTTTTCAAACTGTGCCGTCCAGAAACCACACTTCGCACCACAGTGTTCTGCAGGCTCGGCGCTCTCGTTTGGCAAAAATACATTTGGATATTTAGAAAAAGCCCCGTGTCATTTTAACTATTTGTGAACTGGAAGAGAAAGAAGTGTAAGGCTGGGGGAGAGATCAGGCAAGACAAGGGGAAAGCCACTCTATAGACTAATAGAGACCCTGATGAGGAGGAAATACCCCTTTGCAGCTCTCTCTCAAATAACGTCATTAAAAGTATGTCCCTGAGAGGCGCCTGGGTGGCGCGGTTGGTTCAGTTTCCAGCTCTTGATTTCGGCTCAGGTGTGATATCAGCTTTGTGAGATCAGCCCCGAGGGGGCTCTGTGCTGTGCATAGAGCCCGCTGAAGATTCTCTCCCGCTCTCCCTCTGCCCCTCCCCCACCCCGCTCTCGGGCATGTGCGCTCTATCACGCTCGCTCACTCTCTCAAAAGAAAAGAGAAAAAGAAAAAAGAAAAGCATTTCTTGAAAAGAAAGAAAAGAGAAAAAGAAAAGCATTTCCTGAAAAGAAAGAAAGAAAAAGAAAAGAGAAAAAGAAAAAAAGAAAAGCATTGCCTGAAAAAAGAGATAAGAGAAAAAGAAAAAAGAAAAGCATTTCTTGAAAAAGAAAAGCATTTCCTGAAAAGAAAGAAAGAAAGAGAAAAGAAAAGAGAAAAAGAAAAAAGAAAAGTATGTCCTTGAAATAGTTCAAAAGTCACAGCTGAGCTCCTGTTGTGAGCCTTCCCCAGGCCTGGAATCAAGGGGTAGGACAAAGGTGAGGTGGGTAGAGACACTTGCTGGGATGCAAAATTTAAGGGACACCAAAAAACTCAGTCATTAAGATAAATACTATTTTGATGTAATACTTTTAAAAATCAAGGTCAATGCAAAAAAAATCCACGATAAATTTTTTTTTTTAGATTTATTTATTTGAGAGAGAGAACAGAAGTGAGGGTGGGGGAGCAGAGGAAGAGGGACAAGCAGATTCCGAGCTGAGCCCAGAGCCAGACACGGGGCTCAATCCCAGGACCTCGAGATCATGACCTGAGGGAAACCAAGAGTCAGACACCCAACCGACTGAGCCACCCAGGCACCCCTCCATGATAAATTTTTTTAAAAAGACAGGATCAGGGGCACCTGGGTGGCTCAGTTGTTAAGCGTCTGCTTTCGGCTCAGGTCATGGTCCCAGGGTCCTGGGATCGAGCCCCGCATCAGGCTCCCTGCTTGGCGGGAAGCCTTCTTCTCCCTCTCCCGCTCCCCCTGCTTGTGTTCCCTCTCTCGCTGTGTCTCTCTCTGTCAAATGAATAAATAAAATCTTTAAAAGAAAAAAAAAAAGACAGGATCAGTAATAGTGCTATTCTGAACTATACTGGAGCCTGAGGCAAAAGGGAAAAGTCGATCATATTTATAGTTGACTTTTTGGCAACCCCCCCAAAGTGAATGCCTCACTTCCTCACCCTAGTCCATCCCTGCCAGTCATACTAGTCCAAAAATGTAAACAGCCTCTCCCCAGGGATTAAAACAAATGAATTTAAAACATTCTCTTTCCGACTGTCTCCATATTCCCAGTGGCTTGCCCGGAAGGAGCCCACCATGAATGAACCCTCAGCGCAGAGCTGCACTTGTCCCCACAGACGCCATTACCCAAGGTGAGGGGAATACAGCCAGCTGCTACAATTTTCTGATAGGCCTCTCGAATTAGACGGCAGCTGTCCGTAAGGTTGTAAAGATTGACGTTCACATCGCCTAGGTCTGCAACCATGAGGGACTGGAAGGGGAGGGCCCCCATGCTAGGGTTTGCTGTCCGAAGCATCACTGATTCTTCCCGGATCCGCCGAGGTCCAAATCTGGAGAAGGAAGAATCATCCTGTGAACCATCCCAAAAAGGTCAGAGGTCCTACCTAGGCCAGGATTTCTTAGCCTCAGCACTGCTGACATTTGGGGCTGGAGGAATCTTTGATGTGGGGGGCCATGCAGTGCCTTGTAGAATGTTTCCCCTAATCTATAACCCACTAGATGCCAGTGGCAAGTTGGAATAACCAGAAAGGCCTCCAGACGCCACCAAATGTCCCCTGGGGGCAAAATCACCCCTGGTTGAGAACCACTGATCCAGGCTATATACTTGAAGAGATTAAAGGCACGGATTTAGGAGACTACCCATCACCAATTTACTACATGACATTAGATAATTTCTTAATCTCCATGAGCCTCAATTTCCTAATCTGTGAAATAATGATTATTTACCTTACTGTGTTGTTGGAGGAATTGAGTGAGGTCATCTATGCAAAGCGCCTTGCATTAAGGAGACATTTTATAAATGGTGGCATCCACACTTCAGATTATTAGATGTAAAGTGGCTGAGCTGAATCAGAAATAGCTGATGCTCACTAATTAGGAAATTACTTCAGCAGCTGCCTTGATCTTAGAAAAAAATGCCTTGGGGTCCTTGGCTGGCTCAGGTGGTAGAGATAGAGAGTGGGACTCTTGATGTCGGGTTTGTAAATTCCAGTCACACACTGGGTGTAGAGATTACTTAAAAATAATAAAATGTATTTTTTTTTAAAAAGCACCTTGTGTTTGAGCAATTCTTTTTGTTTTGTTTTGTGTTTTATTTTTTATTTATTTTTTTTTTAAAAAAAGATTTTCTTTATTTATTTGACAAAGAGAGAGAGAGGGAGAGCACAAGTAGGCAGAGAGGCAAGCAGAGGGTGAGGGAGAAGCAGGCTCCCCGCAGAGCAGGGAGCCCGATGCGGGGCTCGATCCCAGGATTCTGGGATCATGACCTGAGCCGAAGGCAGACGCTTAACGACTGAGCCACCCAGGCGCCATTTGTTTTGTTTTTTAAAGATTTATTTGACAGAAGTATTTGAGCAATTCTTGATCAAGTGACATCTAGAAGTTTGGGGAAGGTGCATCCAACTTCCTCTGTTCTCAGAAACAACGTCCCCTGCCCCCGTAAGCCCCACAGCCACCATCCCAGCAAGGCTCAGGAATCAGCGTGTGGAGAAGGCTCCTGTCACCAAGAGAAGACCCACATGTCCAGCCCTCACCACTGCTTGATGCGGGAGGAGGGAAATCAAGGATCTTTCAACCGATTGGGAGCATTCTGGAGCCAGCACTTCCAACCCCACTCTGGGTGAGCGGAGGCGCCCGTCCCTTTGTCTTTCGCGCCCAGTGGCCATCGGGCGGTCCACCCACGTGTCCCCGAATCCTTCGGACCTTACCTCGCCCCGGGCCGGTTGGAGGTCCCAATGTCCAGCGGCACCCCGACGAAGGCGGCGTCCAGCCCCTCGGGGGAGGCCTGCACCGGCAGCCGCATCATGGAGCAGACGCCCACTGGCCGCGCCACGAACTCGGAGCTGGGGGGCTGGTTCCGGGGCGCATCGGAGGACCGGCTGCTGGAGCTGCGGCCGGGGTGGCAGAGTCCCACGGCAGGATGTGCGCCCCCGCCGGCCCCCAGACCCCGGGCGCACCGGGATGCGATCCGCCGCAGCATGCCGTCCGCCCGGTCCCCCCAGCTCCAGGCCCGCGGGCTGTGCTCAAAGAGCAGGCGGTCTGGGGATCTGGGCGGGCGAGGGGCCGCTCTCTCCCCGCCCCCTGTCTGGACTCTGGCCTCTGGCTCTCTCGGTAAACAAAGCCAGGCCCGGGACTCCCCACTCCCCGCCACCGCCCCGCCCCGCTGCCTATGCCCCCAAAAAACTGGCCCTCGGCCCCTGCTTCTCCCTTTCAGAGTAATATTTTTAAAGCGAAATGATTTAAAGGAAAAAAAACTTTTCTCTAAGGAAGAGAAATTGGAAATGCACTTTTTAAAAATATTTATTTATTTTAGAAAGAGAGCGAGCGCGGGAGGGGGGGGCAGGAGAGAGAAGCGGACTCTGCACTGAGCCCAGAGCCCATGGGGGGGGTGAGGGGGGGCTCGATCTCATGATCCTGAGATCATGACCTGAACTGAAATCAAGAGTAGGAGACTTAAGGGACTGAGCCACCCAGGCACCCCCGGAAATGCATTTTTTTAAAATAATATATTAGGAAATGTCTGGGGTAAGATTCTCAGGAAGTAGAGTCTTTCTAAATAAACTTTTTAAAAAGGATTTAGATACCACCCCTAGTGAAGGTCACACTGCCAAGGAGTCCCTAATCTGCAATCCTCTTTCTAAGGGGAAAGGGGGGAAACCACCAGGGAAAGGAAAAAAGTGATTTGTAATGAAGTTATGTGAGCCATGCGGTGGTATTATACATTTTTATTCTCTGGAAGTTGAGATTGAATGGAAAAGGCCTGAGTTTGCTTTAAATTGTTACCTTTACAGGAAAGTCACACCTTAAACCCCACACCCCCCAGCCTCCACTCTGCAGGATGGGGGCAAAGTTTCCTAATGGTCAGTGTTGAAAGAGCCTGCAGAGCATGTTCCAGAAAAAAAAAAGCAACAATCGCTTAACACCCCTACGGGCAGATTCTATCACTATTTCTTTCATATGGTTTGTCCTGGATGTATCTTTTTCTTACCCCTGGTTTATTCTTTCATTCTTCTCACAAATATTTGCATCCCTACTGTGTGCCAGGGACAATTCAACAATAACTCCAACCTGCTCCCACCTTCCGCTACTCCTGAATGCGTCCTTCCTTTAAACCTCCCTTCAGGTGTGCCCTCCTGCTCTTCTGATGACTCCCTCTCTGATGGCAGTCTTTCAATACCAAGGTGACAATTTTCATCTGGATGCAGGTAATTCACAGACCAAATCCCAGCCATTGGCTCCAGCTGCACATTTTCTAACTCCCCACCAAGATGCTCTGACGGCACCTCAGGTGGCCTGTGGCTCAGCCGCAACGTTCCACCTGCTTCTCCTCGATCCTGCTCTCCGCCCCATCCTTTAGTAAGTCATGGTGGTTTCCTGCGGGCAAGCCCCCCACTCGCTCCCTCTGCTGTTACTGTGGTTCCGGCCTTCCCACCTCTAGCGTTCCACTTGATGCCTCCACTCTCCCATCAGATAATGCTTCCTGAAGCCAATCCACGTTTCTAATTCGGTTTCCCATCATACATCTTCATGTACTTGTCCCTCGAGCTATTGTTCACCTTACACAGCCCTCATTTTCTTGCCTCCTGTCCTTTGTTCATACCATCTCCTCATCTGGAATGTTCTGTCCCATGACCCCCATCTTCACGTGCCCCATGTTCTGCTGAAGCCCATGCTCAAACTACTCTCTCTGGAACTCTTAAAACCCTTAAAATTCTCACCGTTTTCAACCCTGGACAAGTACAGGAGCTGGGATCAGAAAAAAAAAGTTAAATCCTAGCTCCACCCTCCATGTATCTCAATGACTTATGGCAGGAGAGAGACCTCATTCGCATTCCCTGTGGGTTTGGGGCAACAGCTCAAAGTAGCTCCCCGTCCAGCACAACGTCTCTTTGAAGTTTCATGCCTGATCTTGCAAATTTGTGCCGTTTCATTCCGTTTCATAACACATGTTTATATTAGTATAAAAACATTTGATCTTATTTACCAGTTAAATGCTCCCCCCCAAATTTTTAAGTGAAGCTATCACTCCAATAACTGACGTTGTTTAAACTAGCCACACCCATGTGCATATCCCCGAGGCACCCGATCAGGGAAGCTCAGATTTAGCATGTCAACCTGAGCAATTCACCCTTTTGAACCTATTTCCTATTCTGCCAAATGGAATGATAACCCTTGCTGGTTGTTCTCATCAGGATTGAATGAGGTCCACTGTGAAGAACACTGTGAAACCAAAAACTGGTAAATATTAGGTAGTGTCATCATTGTATGTTTTATTTTCTCTGCTGCAGAGTTTCCTAACCAGTGGTCATAGCGCACTGGGTGTTTGCAGCTGGGTTACGAGGGGGGGTGGTTACATAACATAAAGATCCCATGGTTCTTGGGGCCGCCAGCGAGGCCAGTCACCTCTGGGTGCATGCAGGCCACAAAGAGCCCCTCAGAGTCTGACGTCCTGCTCTGTGACCCCTGCAAGGAGGCAGCAGGATCCGCAGCATTGGCGGCTTCCCATGCATTACCACCTGGACATCGACCTCAGAGGCCAGCTGCAGACTACACAGCTATCCCTCGGGGGTGAAGGCTCGATGCCCCGCTAGAGGAGTTGGGTGCTAGGGACCCAAGGAGGACGAGCAGAAGTGCAAGGTGCAGAGGGTCAGGGGAGGAAGAGCAAGGAGATTGGCTGGGAGGTTTGGGCCAGAGCAGCCCCAGACGGCTGACCTAAATCCGTCTTCACTTTGAATCAGATCTCTCTGTCCATTTTTGGCTGATGTCCAAACAGGGTCCAAGCTAACTTTGGAGTGACTGCTTGAACAATGCTGATGGCAGGTGGTATTAAAACTATTTAACCTCTGAGGGGCGCCTGGGTGGCTCAGATGGTTAAGCGTCTGCCTTCGGCTCAGGTCATGATCCCAGGGTCCTGGGATCGAGCCCCGCATCGGGCTCCCAGCTGGGCGGGGAGTCTGCTTCTCCCTCTCCCTCTGACTCTCTCCTTGCTTGTGCTCTCTCTGTCTCTCTCTCTCTGATGAATAAATAAAATCTTAAAAAAAAAAAACCTATTTAACCTCTGAGATGGCCCAGGTACCAGCTAACCATAAACAGTGCACGTCAGCACATACCAAGTGGATATTTTAAGTATTTGTTCTGAAGGAACATGCTTTAAATCAGAGCTGTCATTCGTTTGAAATGCTTGCCGGGAAAGTGTTTGATTGGATTAAAAATCCATTGTTACCTCAAGAAATTTCAATTGAACAATTGTTAATGAAAGGAAAATAAGATGCTTCTATAAGTCTAACTTTTGTAAATGTTTAATATTAAAATTTTAAATTTTTATTACTTACCTGAGTTTCCAATTGTTCGTGGTTACTTGAAGAGATCCTTCTTTTTTTTTAAAGATTTATTTATTTATTTTGAGAGCGAGAGAGAGCACACGAGTGAGGGGAGGGGCAGAAGGAGACGGAGAGAATCTCAAGCAGACTCCCCACCAATGCGGGGCAGTGCAGGGCTCCATCTCATGACTCCAAGATCATGACCTGAGCAGAAATCAAGAGTCAGGTGCTTAACCGACTGAGCCACCCAGGTGCCCCTTGAAGGAATCCTTCTTGAAAAGTCCTGGTAGTTATTGCATATAGCCAATTCAAACATAAAACCTGATAATAAAAAGCGATATTCACAGAGGAAAGCTAAAATTTGGAAAACATTTTATTTGGAAATTTTATATAAGTTCAATATTTAATGCTGTCTAATACTTTTGTTTTCCAAATCATAATCATATAATATGTAGAGAATATAATTATTTTATTTTTTTTACCAAATCCCATACAGATCCCTAAATCCGCTCCCCACCATCCACGTTTACCTCAATGGGACATACAAATTGTATGATTTTTCAATGTGTGCCCTGATAGGAAAAAGATTCCAAAGCACCATTCTAGTGAACTCTAAATTCCAATATGTGTTTTGTCCTTTTGTTCAGCCTCTAATCACAGTGCCTCAAAAAACAAGTAACAGAATAAATGTTTGGTGGGTGAGTGAGTGGACCTTTCTGGAAGCTGTTGAGGGCAGCTCTAGGCTGATTGCTATTTCAGCCAAAAAGCCATGACAGTCAAAGAACATGAGGAAGTCATTGTGTACATTTTGGCTGTCTGCACGGATTCCCTTTGGCCTAAAGAATGATATAAGGGCTCCACAGAAGGAGTCAACAAACTTGTCTGTGCTTGCAGAGGCTCAGAAATGATCCTGCATCAGCTCCAGCCTCCCTGAGACACCTGGCCGGGGCTTTCTGGGACACTCTACTCACTGTCACACAGTTACACGGTTATATTTCCTTGTCCCTGGCCCTAAAGAAAAATAGGTATTTTTTAGCATGTTCAGAAAACTTTCATACAGTTTTGTCAAACTCTCCACTCTTTACCTATAAAGTTACACACTCAACAATGCTTCAGGGAATACTTTACACACTCACATGAAGTTACCTCCAAATAATGGCATCATTTTTTTTTTAAGATTTTTTTTATTATTTTATTTGACAGAGAGAGCACAAGCAGGGGGAGCGGCAGGCAGAGGGAGAGGGAGAAGCGGACTCCCCACTGAGCAGGGAGCCGGATGCGGGACTCGATCCGAGGACCCCGGGATCATGACCTGAGCTGAAGGCAGACGCTTAACCGACTGAGCCACCCAGGCGCCCCATGACATCATTTTTGAATCTCAAAAATAGTATTAGTAAGTACTATTTGAACGCGAGATTGGTTGTTTGGTCTATTTGCTTGTCGGATGGACATCTGGAGCCTGATTAATCTGACCACTTTTATCCGGACGCCAAATAAGTGGCCCGCTCAGTCTCTCTCTGGTCCAAATAAGCTTCCTGGGGCAAGAGAAAAGGGAAGGGAGAGCATGAATTTATCTAAGGAAAGACCCATCCAGTGAAGTTTAAAGATCACTGTCTTGCAGTTTCAAAGTCAAGCCAGGAGAGGGCACAGAAAACTTCTACTTGATCGGCTAACAAAGAAGAGGAACTTCAGGAAATGGACAGAG